AAATTCAACAATATTTATCAAAAGCACTTAATTTTTAAATCTTATATTACTAATAATAGTATAATGAAAAATGTATTGAACTATATGAAATCTGCCATTTTCAACATTTTATCGAATAAATCATAGAAATACGCAATTTTTATACCTGCTACACATCTTCTTCCCTACTTTAAACGGAATATTTTTTTTCATGTTCAAAATTTTCAACTATTTTTTTATTTTCATGAAACCATGAAATGCACAAAGACTTATCATCCCAGAATGCAGTAATTAATTCATAATATGAATTGCCTCATTCGCAATTTCCATTTTATAATACCACTGATAAGGATAATTAGTTTTTACAGATTTTTACAGATCACAATTTAATTAAATCACTGACCTGAAGCTAATTATAATATATTATTGATGTAGGTGGATTTATTCATTATGATTTGCTCAAAAGCCATTTGATAGAAAAATTGAATTTTTATTTGTTATAATTTAATTGGATTCATAGCTATTGGATTTAAAATTTGTTTTCTATATGTGTACTTAATGTTCAATATTTAATTTATTTGCAAGTATACGCTTCAATCTTGTATCTTAATTTCAGTTCATCTTTGCTATGGAGAAGCTACCATCTCCTAATTAATTTTGAATGTAAATTTTCATTACCGATTAGCACCTTGTGATTTATATCGCCCTAAAGTTAAGTCGCTCTTAACTTTGTTTTATTGACAGTATTATCCCTAAAATACAGCCTGAATCTTGAGTAATTTTCAAGTTTCTTGAATAATTAAAAGGAAATTAATTTGAACTGGCAAAATTATAATATTAAAGGTCTATATATACATATGTATGTAAAGATATATATATATATATATATATATATATATATATATATATATACATACGTGTGGGATAGAGATGTGTTTCATTTTATTAAATTTTGTTTTTATAAAATAATATACAGCTTTATAATTTTCTCTCTCGTCTTTTATGTGATTATTATATTTCTTTGGTATTTCCATTACATATTCATAGACCCCATAATAGAATTTAGGCTACGGAAAATGGCAATTTCAATATTAGATTTTAAATTATTAAAAATAACGTTTTATTAAATATACGGTATTAAACAATTTCTTCTCGTTTATTTTTCTCATAAATTTTTTACGAGGATGAAGTGGTTGTACATGAAAGTATGTAGGATAAACCATCAAATTCATTGAAACTATAGGGTTGAAAATTATTTAATTGCTATCCAGCAAATAAAAAAATATTAAACAATTTTTACATTACCGGTGGAGATGCATTCTAAGATATTGGCAAAGAGTAGTAATAATATGTATTAGATATAATTTTGTTTAAAAGTAGAACGGATTCATATCAAATTCTTATTGTGATGACTTTAAAAGGTAGAAGAGCAATATTTGTAAATTGAACTGTTCATAAAAGGAACGAATATAAATCGTGTTTCAAACTGAAATTGAATTTAAAAAACTTGCATCAATTTTTATAAGGTACCTATTTGTTATCATAGAACTAATAATATTATTTTAAAATATAAATATCTATCATACATTTTCTCCTTATGCAGAATAGAATAATTATATGCATAATTACTATAATTTTTAAAGTTTAAATCTAATTTAATATTTTCATAAAAATGTAAATGAGTTAACCAAAATAAATATAATAATTATTTACTCGCATCCTCGTTCAGCTATTCGTTTTTTGTAAGTTTCTTCATCATGCATTTCAGGATATCGCCTAATATTTTTTTCTAAAATATTTGGCATAGGAGTTAGAATACCTGAAATTTTCAAGCATTTTTGAAATTTTATTTAAGTAACAAAATTCTAAAGAGAGAGTAAAGTATTTAAAAACGATCTGCAGTATGCTTTAATTCATTCTTCAATTTATTGCTATTGATAAACATTAAACAATTTTGAAATATAAATATATTGTTGTCGTATTGAAGGTTAATATATCAGTTGACTAATTATATGCATTATATAAATTATTGCTTTATTGTATATATTTTACATATTTCAGATTCATTATTTTGATTTTAATTATTTTTTGATTTACTAAAACCTTTCTCATTTTTGGCCATGCCTATCTGCCCGCCTGTGTATATTACAGCAACGCGTACTTCTGGCTTTTGCTTACATTTTTCGTCATTTCTAATCATTTTGATAAAAGCACTTTATTTTTTATATTTACACCTTTGAACTATACATCTATTATTATTTACTTAGTACACATCACATGATAATTTGGATAAATTATTAACTAAACGTCAATAGACAGTAATTTGACACCAAACAAATGACAAAAATAATAGTAATTTGGTTTAATATTAATTAGTATAAATCGAAAAAATAAATACTTTTATAACGAGTAAAATAATACAAGAAGTGTTATTTATGTTAAAAGTAAAACTACATACAAAGAAAAAAAGTATATTTTGTTACTATTCTTATAATAGTGCATAGGCAAAATTCATGATTAGATACTATTTTATTTTTATTTGCTTTAAAATATTTTTTATGATATTTAACTAATATTTAAGGATTGATGATATTTCAGTTTTGGTCGTAACTACTACCTAATTTACATGTAAATGTATGATAAAATTAATAATTAATTCAAATATGATTTAAATTCACTTTTAAAACATACACGATTATTATTTTAGCATATATTGTATGATATACGGTAATGTTTAATATTTACATTATATTATGTGTTTTATTGACATTACAGTTATGGTTCATAATTATCATGGATTATAATTTGGAATTAATTTTATTGATGAAATAGGACTGCAGTTACAATTGAACACAATGGCATAACCAAAAAATGAATAAATCACAGAAGAAGAATGATAAAAAACCAACACAGAAATATTTATTATTTTTTACAAAAATTAAGTATTGCTAGAGTTTGTTAGCTTTCAATTTTTACCGAAAAGTTACAAACAATTTTACAATCTAGTACATTTTTTTTCTTAGATTTGAAAAGTTTCATATAAAACTTATGTTCTGTATTATATCAGAGCATGAATTTAAGCTTACATTTACAACTTTTCTTATCCCTTTAATATTGTACCTTTCCTTTGGAAATTTTTATATTATATCGCCAATAAATTTGTAGTCTATGGGTTGTTTACAAAACCGGGGAAATACAAGCTGATACGTGTTTGTAACTGGATAAATATGACCAATAAAAGAAATCTCTTTGCAATTTACTTTTATGCCATGTTATATTATGGACATACTTAAATGTATTATACGGTTAACAACACGAACATATGTTATAAAAATTTTATGCGTGATTCGGGCAACACAATATGGATTTCATTTATGGTTCGGATGATTGTGGGCATGGCCGTTGATATTTATTAAATTAGTTGTACAAAGACTATTTATTTATGAAAATAAAATACTGCAAGACTTTATTCAGATTAATCGATACCAATACCACAATATATGAAATTTATTAGATATACAGCAATCATTTGCAATGATCACCAAATTGTGAATTTTATAGGCGACTATCATTTATTTATATTTGTTTTGTATTTTCTCGGACAATGTGCTATTAAGCTTGGTTTTATACGAGTTTTTTATACATAAACACACACACACACACACACACACATATATATATATATATATATATATATATATATATATTCACCTTTATAAAAAAAAAATTTAAAACATCTATATCTTTCCAAACGTTTGGACATATGAACATATGTCACCATCAGTGGATATGAATAAAATTTAAAATAAATATAACGAAAATTTAAGATAGGAGGAAGTCCCCGAGTGCCGGACACCTAAGGTTATTTATAAATAAATTAAAAAATATTCTACGAAATGTTTTTTAAATTATGACTTATGTTAGATAACCAAGTTAGGAATCAAACTAAATTAACAAAAACGCAATCTTTGCTAAACCATTATTAATACTATCAATCAAACTTTGGTATCAAAAAATATGATTTTAAACAGTGGCACCTAGTACCGGACATTTCAAAATAATCAGCATTGAACACATATGTAGACATCTCCACACTCTGGAATATCTTTGTGCACATTTGTGTTTGACAAATTTTCTTAGATATTGCAAAAGAAATCACTAATTATCCACCCTTTTGTCTGGGCCACACCGATGCTCTCAGCTGGAGCATTCATCATTAGATTTTCATTCTTTGATTAGAAAATACGAAAAATGGGGGTATGTAGTGACCGTTAGCACTCATACAAAACAAAATTAAATAATTCGAATAAATTGCGTCCATTCTCACAAGAAATATCAATATGTTTACTTCCGACGCTAAGGGACGACTTAGTGTCCGGTGCTAAGGGACAGACAATTTCGTTTATTTGATGGTACCTACTAAAATTGTTTAACATATTTAATAATATTCTACCATTTTACGGATAATAATCAAGTACTACTTTCATTTTTGAATGCCACTAAAAGATAAGTGCATAAATACACTAGAATTACTTCCATCGATATTTAGGTGACGCCGTGTGTTTTAGCGCCTAAAACAACAAAGGGTTGCTCCCGCCGTGGCCGTGTGCGTCACAGGTGAGTCTCGGCGCGTGATCCAACACCTGTGCGCCCCTTCCACTTGTATTTTGAAATAAAAAGATTTATATTCGCTTAAATAAAACGGGTTAAATAGAGTGTCCGGCTTTAAGTGCCGTCCGGCGTTGCGAGACTTCCCCCTATATTATTAACAAAACAACACTTCAATTGTCAGTAATAGAGTTTTAATTATTATCAAACCAATAGATTTTTTTGCCTTTGAGAAAATTTACTTTTTTTGGTAGTACCGATTCATCCAATATGTATTTATGTCAGTGCGTGAGTGACATATTTTAACTATCTCTTGCTTGCACATTTTGACTCTTAATGTATTATATAACCAAATTTAGTGATAAATACAGAACATATCAATATTAACGAGACATATTTTCTAATGTTTTCAGTGCGAATATCAGGAACTCCGCAGGCAGTGCCAGGATTTTGCGACAGCTCTCCTGGACCATACCCGAAGTTCACATGAGCTCGAAGTTCTGCTGAACCATGATCCTACTGGTCCTGCATTCGAACATGGAGAGAGAATGCATCTTAATAGACTAAAATTGGCTATTAAACTGCGCCAGAAAAAGGTCAATAAATTCAAAATATTAGTTTAATATAAAAACCTATTATTGATTTTAATATATCAAATATTGACAACTACATTGTCTTTTTTGTGGACAATGCTTGGAGATGTTTTTAATATATTCAATGTATTTAATGAAATAGTAATTATTTTACGGTTCAAAATACTTTTTTTTAAATATATTTAAGCAATCAAAAATAATGAAAATATGAGCTATTTGGTAGAGGAACGATATACACATTTTTTTTTAGCCGTCTACATTATTCACATTATTTTCATCATATTCTATATAATTCTTACATGTATATTTCCTATACATTCATATTATATACTATCTCTTCTTATATCCTAATATTCCATTCAATTTTCTTTCTACTGATTTTCATTTTTCTTTTTGTTTCTCAATATGTTCTTCTCATCTTCTAAACTAAACTCCTTTCTTTCTTCCTACTTCTAATACATTTTTTCTTGTATTCTACAAATTAACAATTTTTAATCTAGTTTAATATTTTATATTTTATTCTGGTATTGCTGCAGATTCGAACCGAATTCCTCCAGTGTGTGAGTCGAGAACGCTACTGAGTGAGCTATTCCCGTCACACAACGATATACACATAAAATAAACTTTTACAATAAATATAATAAATTTCTATTTTAACCAGCAGCTGTTTGAAATATTAAAAATTAAAAACTATTATTTATCCAATACTTTAATCATCGAATTATATTAAATACGGTATTTTTGATATATTAATAAACTCTCTTTTGCTTTCTCGAATTCGTGCATCTAAATTTGGAGGGTAAAACTCGATAAGGCATAAAATATATGATCGATTCGGGTTATACAGAACTCGGGTGAAATAATAATATATATTCCCAAAACAAAATAGGAATAAGCTTGGGAATTTTGATTTACTTTGGTACGTGCTATAGAAAAATGTTTTCTTCAGATAAGCGTATGAGTGCAAACAATCCGGATATAAGACGAAGCGGTATATTTTCGTTTCAGTATATTGAGGTGTCATTTTTCGCTTTACATCAGAAAGATAAATAATGCAGATATATCCAGGACAAAAAATATGTTTTTACTATCTTGGTAATCTACTTTGTATTTTCAGAAGTCTCGATTTTTTTAGCGCACTTCGTTACTAATAGTAATGTACAATTCATATTTTGGTAGATTTATTTTTAGGAATATACAACTATTGGTACTTGGCATCGTGCCTTAAGGAAAATTGTTGGAACTTATTGAAAACGTATTGAAAACGAGAAAAAGAGAAATCTAATGCTTTTTGAATAATTCAAATCGGTTGATCCGTGTTCGAGAAATCGTCGACAAAAATTTGTAGCCGCACACACACACACATATATCCATTTTTTCTAAGGTATGTCAAAATGTTGAAAAACTTCTGAAACGTAAAGATATATAAAAATTTTCATTTTAGATATTTTTGCAAATACTATAACTTGACCTACGGGAAGATAAAAATGTCGAATATAATAATAATAAATAGTAGTCTGTCCAAAGGCAGGTCCATGGTTTGAGAGCACCACAAACCAATAATTACCTTTCCTTCCTTTGTTTATTATTCTCATTACCTTTTTACCATCATTTTCACTTCTTTGTTCAATTTTTTGCATTTTTCTTTCAGAACTTTTACTTTTATGCTTCCTGCTTCCATGTTCTCATTTTTCTGCATTTTAACTTCTCGCGTAGGTCATCAATCGTTTGCATTCTTCTTCTTCCTAGTCCTTTCAGGATTTCTATTTTACCCTCGACGATGACGTCGTATATAATCGCTCTTTCTGCAGAATGACTCCGATCCAGTTTCTTTTTCTTTTGAGGAAATTGCAGATTGCTCTGCAGATTTATTTCTTCTTTCTTCCTCTGTACTACTTCTTTGGAGGGTAAAACTTTCCAGATAGTTTGTGCACTTTTCTTAGAGTCCATGTCTTTGATCCGTAAAGAGCTATGTTTCAAATTTTATGATCTATGTTATGTCTGTCGAATATAATCAATATAAAATACAATACAAGGCACATATAAACATTGCAGTGAACTAGTCAACCAACTACAGTCTCAATAGCATCAGAAAAAATTCTTTAATTCGTTAAATATTTCATCAAAAAACAGTTTTAAAAACAGATTTTATGTTATTTTGAACGTTTTAATAATTATGTATTGAAAATATAACCTATAAGAAATAAATTGAAAATTGAACTTTTTTTAGGATTATTCTTTAGAAAGGCAGAAAGTGTGAATTGAAAATTACTAGTTCAAAGAGATATGTGTATATAAATATATATATATATATATATATATATATATATATATGATTATATATAAAGCAATTTTAGCTAATATTTTGGCAATGTGAAACTGTTGACGAAACTTCGGCTAACTTTAATATATGTAATTCATTTAGGGGGGCTTACATGGATATCGGGTTTCCCGGAAACGTCAGCTGTATCATTCTAATCAATATAAATTCTTCACTACGCACATACACTGTTTTACATCTGCTAAATAGATATATAACATAATTAAATTCACAGATGACTCAACCTCAATTCAATTAACAGATTAAAAGCTTAATTAGATTTTGAAATTGATAAATACCAGGTCTCTTACCCAGCACTTTGATAGCAAGATAATATCAGTGTTAGTCCAATAACAGAATTAATCCAAAAGAGAAAAAAATTATAATCTGAGACAAAAATATAGACGAAATCCAGCAGACTTCGCTTTACTCTGAAACTTTGGCGATGAATTACGAATATTAGCATATTAAATTGTAAAGCATCTTGAATACATTAAATTTTGTAAATTAATAATGAAAAAGTGAGGCGTCTGAAATTTGAATGAATTAAGAACAGTTCTGGGAGGCATTAATCAGCTTCACAATTTATAACACACACACACACACATATATATATATAGGATATGGCGGGGCACAAAGGTCAAATTTGACTTTGAGCAATTATGTTATGAATCAAACCAATTATATTATAACAAATAACACATATCGAACAATTATCTCACTATGTTCAGTAAAACACCCAGCTAATTTGTCATTGTAGAAATGTGTTTTTTGCTGTTTGGGCAAACGGGTTTAATAACTTATTTTCAATTCTAAAGAAAATACTTTTGTTATGGATTTGCTAACATTGATGTTCATCTCTCGATAGAGTCGAAAGTATCAAGTTGATGGTTATATATCTTTTTCTATATTAATTAAAATCTATATAAGTGAATGTGCCACGAATCGAATGCAAAATGTAACCAGAAATCATATGAATTAAATCCTATCAAAGATTTTACTAAATCATCTCATAATTCTAACTATGAGAATATTATTTCCATGTGATTTTATCAGGTACAGATTTAATATGTCCTAGATTTTATCATATAATATCACTTCACATAAGATAATTCTGTAAGCTATCTAGCTATTGTTAAAATCATTATTCCGAGAATAGTTTGCGTTCCTAGGAATTTTGCATCATCTAAATAATCGCATTTGCATTTGTGCTTAGTGCGATAATCATAATGAAATTAAACCATCAGACTTATCTAATCACCTAGTATTAGACTATTCTATAATGCAGTGCTAGTCTTTAGATGGCTGGTAACTACACCAGAATAAAGGAATTATTTGTTTAATAAAATTTTCTTAAAATAAAAAATTTTAAATGTTATGATTTAGCATTATTAGTTTTAAATATTAATTGAATACAAAATTAAATACGATTTTGCTTATTAAAACAATGTAAAAATATGATATTAATTATTTTATAGTGTTATAATATTTTAAAATGTAGCACTTGTTGTTACGTGATTTAGATTTTATTTTTGTGAGGATTCCTAATTTTTTTTTTCAGAAACACTTTTGCAATATGAAGCATATTATTTTTAAATTTTAGTAGTTCGGTAAATATTTTAATATTAATAAACAGATACAGTATAATTTTTTAAATCAATATGCCTTGTTATCCACAAAAGTAAGATAGATTATATCATAATTTTACAAATTTTTAAATAAAAAATTATTAATATAGAAATTCAATATCTAGCAGAACTTTGTACAACTCAATTAACCTCATTTAGAGTTCCATAACATTTAAACTTAAGATATCAAATAGGTATAATTTCAAATTAGAACTTAAACTTTTCAAGTAAAACTAATTAAGGATCCAAAACTGAGTATTTTCTCATCCAAATTGCTATCCAGCTAATATTTAATAAAATCTTAGAAACTATATTAAACTAGTTCAAAAAGTTTTTATTTGTTAATGACTATATTTTATCATGATTATTATAGCACTATAATAAAATTAATTTCATATTTTTGCATTCTTTTGATAAGCAAAATTGTATTAATTTTTTTTTTTCAACTAGTATTTAAAACTGATTATGCTTATGTGTCAGTAACAAATAAAACATTATTGATAATCTATGATGATTACTAAAAGTAATCTGTGAAAAATCAGACATTGATAACTGCATCAACCCTCTATAACAAAAAATAGTAATTTTGCCTTGACAACGTTAGAGATTTTAGATTTATGTGTCGTCTCACGAAAAAGACCATGATAATTGAAATATGACCTGAAAGTTGCACTGGCCCATATAGGTATAAAATATTTGCATGGAAACGTTTGCACTAGAATTTTTTTCTCTGCATTATCATAATAAAATCATAACAGAATATTTTTTGATAAAAAGCACCTTTGCTCCATTAAAATTTTGGTCGCTCTCGGAAAGTTTTTAATATTCATGAGCGCATAGCTTTTGAGAATTGCGTCACATCTAATATTTGTAATAAGTGCCCGGAAGAGGTTCCGAACTCGTTGAGATGCAACGAACGAGATTTTAATTTGTTTCTCCTCCTTTCACCTACAGTTTTCCTTCTACATTTTTTTTCATTTGACTTTTATGCTAATTCAAAGTACATCGTGAAAGTATTTCTGTTTTTGGCACATTTAAAACCCGTTAAATATAGCTTAGGATGTGAAAAATATTATAAAATTATATAATGAAGTATAACATTTAAATATAATAAATACATTAATAATACAATTAATATAATATAAAAATATAAATTCATTTTGTTAGAAATACCAATTATATAACACTCTTGCAAAAAAGTGATACAATTCAAAAAAATTTAGATTTTGCATTTTATTCAAATTAGATTAATCTTTAAACATGGAAGATAATATAAGATAATTTTTTGAATTTACATTAAATTGAATCAAAATACAGAAGAAAAGTGACACAAATCCAAATAAGAACTAATTTTGGGGAACTGTATGCTATGAAGTATAAATTGAAAATTTTAAACTCAAAACACAATACAAAAATATTTAATTAACTAATATTTTTGTACTACGGCAAACTTTCATTTCTGCGACTAGTGCCACTTTACTGGCAAAAGTGCGAAATAATTCAATTGGTTGTGAATTTTTTTAACAAAGTTATAACGGTCTGTTTTAATTCAAAAAATATTTTTGATTTTGTCACATTTGATACTCCAGATAGATATATCTTTGGAAAGGGAAAATTGTAATAAATTAATTGAAAAATTATAATAAATAAATTATTAGATTATATAATACTAATTAACACTATTTTCACTAGAACAAAAACTCCTTATGACATCGAACGACTTAGAAATCTCGTCTATCAAATTAATTGTCTAGACTAGATTGTAATTTAATTAAAGAATTTATTAAAGAGATTACAACAACACTAAAATTCTAGACAATTTAAAATTTTGCCCACTGAGCACAATAATACTTCTAAACACACTATGATTTTTTTTAATTTGACTGTACTGCATTTTGGAGATTTATTTTCCAGAAGAATATATATGTGTGTGTGTGTGTGTGTGTGTGTGAGTGTGTGTCAATGATTTTTAACAAAGTTAAAATGTTTTATTTATCGTATAGCACTCTACATTTCAAAAACTTCTTTGAATTTTTATTATTCAAGTAGTTTTCGTTAAAATATGGCTTCCCATTCATAAAACGTCAATCGATTATAAGATCTAACCAATTCAACATAATATAACATGAAATATTACTAAATATCAATATATCACAAACCACAACATTTCTTGTTGTCCCATCTATCATCAGACGTCAAAATTGAATCGTTAATCAAAAGTTTTCATTGTTTTTTCTTGTGCGTTCCAGTTCGTGGCGCATCCGAACGTTCAGCAACTATTGGCATCTATTTGGTACGAAGGTCTGCCGGGCTTTCGGCGCAAGAACATGGCTCTGCAGGCCCTGGAAATCGTCCGAATAGGGATCATGTTCCCGCTGTTCAGCTGCGGATACATTCTGGCACCTCACACAGCGTTCGGGCAGACCATGAGGAAACCGTTCATCAAATTCATCTGTAATTCGGCGTCGTATTTCACGTTTCTATGTGAGTAATTAATTTAAATCCATTAAGTATACACACATAGGGTAGGGCAGGGCACAAAGGTCCAGTCTGACTTTGAGCAATTATGCTGTGAAAACCAAACCAATTATATCACAACAAATAATAAATATCAAACAAATAATGATCTGAATACGTCCAAAACTCTCAGATTATTTCTGTCAGCCCAGTGAATAAGCGGTTATGTCAATTAATTTTCACTATTTTGCAAAGCTTGGTTTCAAAGCTCGTGTAATAACGCGTATTTATTAAATTAATGGTTTGAACTTTTGTTCCTAACTAATAGTTTTTCAATTTATTAACTATTTTCAGAGAAATAGTTAATACCACGATTTAAAACATTTTTGCCAAAATTCGTCTTAACTACTTATTCACTCGGATGGCAGATTTATCATTGTAGAAATGTGGTTTTTGCCGTTTTTCACATTTCTTTAAACTGATTCTTATTAATTTCATGGGTGCATTTTTTACAAAGATAACCCTATAAATAACCTTGATGTGGTATTTTGTCAGAAATATTCATCAGCAGATTTAGAATACTATTTTTCTAATTTATCTCTTACAAAATAACATTTTTTCACATAAATTAGTCTTTTATCTATTTTTTTATTTTTTACACCTTTACCAATGTGAAGGTTTAGTTGGTCTTTTTACCACACCCACGTGTCAGCTTCTATAGAGGTTACATAAAAAACTGTTGAATCTAACTTAAAATTAACAATACATCTTATTTAACAATCAAATAACGTTTACTTAAAAATTATATTAGGTATGATAAATAAATGAACGAGTTCAAACTACCAAAAAACAAACTTTTGTTATGAATATTGATACATGGCCATTTATCTTCTGATAGCATTGTATGGATTAATATGATGGTTGGTTATATATCCTTTGCCTTCTAATTAAAAATAGTATTGTTCAGAAATTATATGTACTTCACTTGTTGATCAAGTTTTGACATTAGTGGTCGTGGATCTTTTTACCCACGGACTTATATATAGTTAAAATTATTTCATCATTTTACCCTATTCATCACTTTACCCTAAATATTATGATTACATGTTTCTACACTAAAAACCCCCTTTTTCCAAAAAAATATTTATTTAATTTTTAATTTGTAATTATCCCTATATTTCGGAGATATGGGATGTGTTTTTTATAAGAAACTTTGAAATATTAAAATTTAATAAAATTTAATAAATCATAAAATATTAAATAAAAAATACTAGAATTTATAATAGATAAAACTTTTGATAACTGGTTGTTTAATATATACACCTATTCCTCACTCTTGAAGAAGGGATTCCATATTCCCAAAATGTAGAAATAAATGAAAGATCAATGGAGAATTAAATGTTATTTCTTTTGAAAAAGGAGGTTTAATAAAATAAAATGATAAATAATTTTAGCTGTCGATAATAGTGTATACTTGTTTTCACTTATTTCAATTTTCCTTATTGCGTGTACTTAAAAAATTTACCGAGGTTAAAAGTATTTTGTGCAAAATTGATTAGCACAAAAGATTAATCAATAACAATAAACCGTTTTGTTATTTTTAAAATATATTTATTATATATTATTTTAAAAATGTGATATATAACTTTCTACTTTTCTATATATTTTTGTAATTAGTCTTCATTATTTCATTGTTTTTTAGAGTTTACTCAATTTTGAAACTCTAAAATACCTCTTGTTCGAAGCATATTAAAACATATCATTAATTTCGAAAGTTTGTCTAACTCCATGCAGACCTCATTTTATATCATTAAAGTGCCATCGCTTTTAAACTCTTTAACGAAGTAGTTACATGAGTAACAGTATAATGAGACTAATACCTCAGATCAAAAAATGTAATTACGCGAATGAATGAAATTTTATCCCGTTTGTGAAACTTTTCACAGTCGATGTGGTTTTGGCTCTGAAGACAAAGAAAATTTATAACTAAACCAATACAGCTATGCAGGAATATGGTATATTTACACAGTTTCTGTTTATGTTGAGACTTAGAATAACAGACTTTAAAATGGATAGTCGGAAGGATTATAATATCGGATGGATTCCATTAGTGGAATCAATATCTGTGGCTACATAAACCTTACGTTCGCATTTTATTATTCAATTTCATGAAAGAGGATCTTTGTGATCTTTTTTACCAAAAGAATTCCTTTAAATGAAATATATTCTAATTGAGAATTTTTGACTCTTTGTTGTTGAGTTAAATAGATTTCTGTTAACTAAATAATAAGAGAAACAAAAATCGTAACAGATATATTTGTAATGAATAAACTATAAATTTATGAAAGTTTTTATCAACAAAATAAAATGACATTTAAACAGTATTTATTATAGTTATGACGTCTACAGTATTATTCACAATATTTTTACTTTAAAAGTCTATTGTAGTATTTACAGTCTTTTTTACTATAAAATTAAGTCAATATATTCAATATATTTAAATATATTGAATTTTTTTTTATTTCTGCGACCATTCTACGACTCAATGATTATATCTCATTTACCTATCATAGTCATTTTAAAAAGTATTCGCAATGTCGATACGACATCCAAAATAGTTCTATAAAAAAACGACGTTTCTATTTATTGATTTGCTGATAAATCACACCAAATGTGCAATGACAAAAAACAGATCAACGAAAGACATCAAATGCAGTGATCATAAGAAGCTGGAAATTTCAGTATCATTTAAATGTTTTTGTCGTAGCACAAATGCAGCTGATATAAGAACTTGTGCATAAGCTGCTTGCAATTCTGTCTGCGTCATATGTAACACTAAAGTGATTTGCTGTTCAAAAACATGCCACAAACCGAAAGGAATATATATATATATATATATATATATATATATATATATATATATATATTTAATTTGAGTTAAAAAGTCGGGCGTTACATCAATAAAAATAGCATGAGAGTTTTCAAAAATTTATTTAAAATCCATAAGTTTCGGCTAGCATCTTAGCCTTCATTCAGTGGCAATCAATTTCTATAAAAATTAAAACTAAATAAATAATATGTAAGAAATTGCACAGAAAAACAATAATAATGAAAATAATAATAAAAAACACAATTTTGTATTCTAATATTTTCAAAAATGTGTCATCTGGTCTTTTCATCATAAAATTGCGGAGTAAAATGGTACGACCAAGGCGCAAACAAGTCCAATATCTTATTTTCAATTTTGAAGGTATTTTACGAAATAATAATGACATTGTTCAATCAATGCAAAATATGAATTTCACAGCACATTTTTCACAGAGATTACACTTTATATAAACTTGATCTGTTTTTTTTGTCAGGAATATACATTTATCAGAGTTGAAATAACTTCTTATTTAATTTGTCTCTTTCAAATTTGCTTTTTTAACATAATAGCTTTTTTCACTATTTTTTATTATTTACACATCTGCCAGATTAAAGGTTTAGTTGGTCCTTTTTTACCCCGCCCACGTGTGAGCTTTTATAGATTGTATTAGAGATTATATAAAAAACTATTCAATCTAACTTAAAAGTAACAATATCTTATAAAACAATTAAATAACATCTACTTAAGAAATATATTATGATCTCGTAAACTAAACAACAGTGCTCACCACCAAAAAAACTAACAACGAAAGATAATACTTTTGTTATGGATTATTTCGTTTGAACGACTCTTCTGATAGCAACGTCGTAAGAATCAAGGTGATGGCTGGCTAAACATTTTTTCCTCTACTTTCAAATATTATTTTTAAAAAATTCCTAACATCACTTGTTTTTGAGATATTGGTGGCGGATCTTTTTACCCGCGGACTTTTTAGCCTTGCTTCGCCCTATATATAAATATATATATATATACATATATATATATATATACATATATATATATATATATATATGTGTGTGTGTGTGTGTATGTGTGTGTATACATATATAAAATTCTATATAAAGATATATTCTTTTTATGTACTGTTAAACTCAGGCGCATGAAAACGTACCACAAAGAACACGTACAAAAAAAGTACAATTACTAGAGGTTTCCTGTAAAACTAAGGTTGTGAATTCCGCATTGAGAATAATAATGAGTTCGTGATACATTAGATCATTACTGGTCTTGCAAATGTTAGCCATTTTTTACTTATTTTAATTTGATTCAGGATTTGACATATTTTAGTGAATGAATTGAATCCAATTTACTAATTAACCCTACATTATTATCATCATAATTATATGAATTATTATTTGTCCTGAATCATCCAATTTTATTTTACTTAAATTCTTGTTTCTACCATCAAAATGTATATAGCAATTATTTTGCGTTTCATAGAAACAAGAGAAGTTATATATTATAAAATTTAAAACAATGAAATTTGTGTTCTAAACAATATTTTCATAATTGTTTCAGTTATGTTAATATTAGCTTCCCAAAGGATAGAGTCTGTGGTCGGTGGTTGGTTTTCATTCTCGTCTGTTCCCGAACCTGTGGTCGACGAGGTACAGACAAAACGCGGAGCTGCTCCTTCGATAGTGGAGTGGTTTATTCTGGCCTGGGTCAGCGGTAAGATATTATTTATTAAATAGTTTACAAACAAACTAGTTCAAATACAATTCACCTAATTTTGAATAATTTAATTAAGCAAATGTCAAGTATTGCAGTTGTATAATTAACATATCATTAGTCATGCATGCAAACAGTGAAGTCTCAGGTGCATGCGTTGTGGTCGAGAAACTAACACCATGATATCCCTTAGAACGACATCACATAAAACTTATTTGATTAAAGACCAATTTTAATTTAATTTTTTTTTTAAATATAAATATACGCAAAATAAATTTACCTCTTTATTTAATTAAAAAAATATGTTTGAAGTCAGGCTCTCATCAGCAAAAAATATAAAATATGAAAAATAAATAATTATTTAAATAATTATAAAATTTATTTGAAATATATCAAGAATAAAATTATTGATTCTTATTAGTTACTTTATATCAATGATTTAATAATAATTACTTATGTACAAAAACAAGCATAACATTGTGATAGAAAAATAATAAGACTGCAATTTCTGAAGTTGAAATAATTTTCAAATATATTCTTAATCTCAAATATTAAATTTGATTTGCTGCATAGTAATGATTATTTTAAGCTACTCAAATGTTCGAAAATTTCATTTTGTATTATTTCTTAATTACCCACATTTATTACGTATATTTATAGGGAGATTGATAAATGATGTCATTAGTATTATATAGCATAAATAGTTACTACATTACTTTTAATAATTTAATAATTTCCATCTGATTTAACGGAAAACAAAATAAATATAATCAAAAAAATAATTTCAGTTAAGTATTTATATCTTTAATTAAATAAAATAATAATTTATATTATTTAGAAGGTATAATTTATTCAAGTTCATGCATTATTTTTCAATTGAATTACTAATTTCTTGATTGAATGAAATGGTCATATTCAAATGATAGTATAACTTGATAATAACTTGATTAAATTTTTCTATAAATTTTATATAGAAAACCGTGCTAACATTTTTTTTTATTTCCTGCAGTTTCGAGCTAATAAAAATTTATATATATATAAATATATATATATATATATATATATATATATATATATAATTTGAAATATAGTTAAAAAAAATCAAATGTTAAATATACTTCGGTACACTCGAAACAAAGTAATATATTTTAAAGTAAATAAGACCGAAATTAAATGTAAATATAAACTACCTTGTAAACAGTTATCATGGAAGTAAATTATTATGTACATATAGAATCCGGTAGAACATTGCATCTATGCAGTTTTGGAGAATCATATTATCTCTAACGTCATTTTATAATTATCATCTGATGTCTATTTCATTTTAATTAACTCATTTTGCGTTTTATAGAGCACTGTTTCGAATTGGATTTAAAATTAAGCAATAAGCGTATAGCCAACCTAGATTTGAAAAATATAATTAAAAATTATACTCCAGCGTAAATTTAATTTTCACGCATCAGTAAAATAGATATATTAATTATGTGAAATAATCCTACTATACCGCAAGTCTAGAAATTTGCTTATTTGTGAACTAGAAACTAATTGGAAGTGATACATCTCAAATTCCACTGACATATTATCATATATCGAAACGTTGGAAAGTGAATTAAAAATGCTGTAAATTTCTACAATTTTTTGTTTGACGTCTTGCCCTGAAGATTTTGCTTCAGAAATAATATATCAAAAAAAGCTTAGCCGATATATGAACATATAAATTACTCATTATTTTGTGCTAATTACTATTGAACACTTTTAAGCTTGATTATGTAACACTTGATTAGCAAATATTTAATGACTATATGTTTGAAATGAGCTTTAAATTATTTAACCAAACCACGAATTGATCGTGGCAAAATTATTTGAAGCTTACATGCTGATGATATCAATTAATTAATTAATTAATATTGATTATAATTGTGCTGATAATATTAGCATATACATAATGTATATATATATATATATATATATATATATTTATGTATATATATATATATATATATATATAAATTTACATAGTGTCCAAGAATCTAACTTCAAGTCGAAATATTACCTTAACCGTCCTAAAATATTTAGAAAAAAATGTAGAAGAAAGAAAATTTTTTGGGAGAGCCTCTCAAAATCGACTCTCTGTTCTTTAAAACCTTTTCAATTCATAATTCAAAAAAAGTCTAAATTTTTGACAACTTGAGACAATTGTGTTATTATTTATTACTGTCCTAGAAATGTTATTCACGGATACAGGTTTAAAAGGACAAAATTTGGAAAAATTAATCACAATAACCGATAAATGGTCAGAATTTCACCAAAGCTTGAACAACTGAGATGAGTTTTTCCTCTATTTTTTTTTTCAGAACGGTTAAGGTCAATACTATCATCCCGTCAATTATTGGAACACCCTATATATAAATTTAGATTTTTTGTTTTGGATATGTTTGGTATATTGAAATATTTATTTTTGCATTTTCTTGTTTGAAATATATGATATTGTTTATATGATGGCACATATATAGTGGCACACATATAGTTACACATATAGTTTTTTCAAGAATGTAATGATTAAATATATACATATATGAAAATTTTCTATAAAACAAGGATGATGTTAGAATGTTCAATAGTGGCATCTATACGATCTGTAATTTGATCATATATCTAAATAAACTGAAACATGTAGAGTCATATAACTTTATAATCTAATTATAATAGTTGTTACAGATGCTTAAACTAGTTTTATGTTGCAATGAAATAAATTTATTCTATCCAGCTCTAACAACTTATGCCACTTTTTATATTTACGCTGCATTAATCCCACCACCCAGTATAATCCTAGTTTCCATATATATGTTATTTAAGTTACGGTGTACATTTGCGCACACAATATTACCGTAATATCTCTTTTTTCTCAAACGTTCGCCTTTTTCTCCTTTTTTGCAGGACTCATATGGAGCGAAGTCAAAGAGTTATGGGATGTCGGATTACACGAATATGTGAATGACATGTGGAACGTCATAGATTTCGTTACTAACTCGCTATATGTGGCGACAGTCGCCCTCCGAATTGTATCGTATTATCAGGTAAGGATTTTACCTTTATATTTAATTGAAGTTACAACTGGCGAAAATTGATATTTAGAAATAGTAAATGTCAATTACGAGTGTATGTGTGTAAAAGTCAATGTGTGTTTTTTTGTTTTTTCCTTTCTTTGTATAGCGAAGGATATGCGTTTACGCATTTCAGACTAGGTCTTTTGTCTGGGTATGTCTGTAAAAGCTCTTGTCTCTGGTTTGCACGGAAAACGCCGTTGGGCATTACTTCATGGGGGGAGGATCTAGAATGCTGAAATTCTCGCTCTGAAATTATACTTATCTTCGAATTATATGTCATTCGCTCTTCTTCTTTCTGAAGATCGCAAGTCTTTAAACTCTTTGGTAGGAAATGTGTCTATACCCAGTGTGGTGGAGTCAACAAACGTTAGGCTACTAACTCTAAACTAAATTATACTATAATAATAATAAATGGTAGTCTGCCCGAAGGCAGGTCCATGGTGTGAGAGCCACCACAAATAAATAATTCCCTTACCCTTCATCTCATTACTACTATTCCCCTCCCCCCTTTTTTTATTTCATATATTTTCCTTTCAGAACTTTTGCTTCTATGCTTCTTGATTCAGTGCTTCGGCTTTCAGTTCCCTGTATTTTCTCTTCTCGCGTAAGTCGTCAATCGTCTGCATTCTTCTTCTTCCCATTCCTTTTGTTCCTTCTATTTTACCGTCGACGACGTCGTGCAGGAAGCACTCTTTTTGCAAAAGTAGCCCGAACCAGTTTTCTTCTCAGAATTGTGCTCAGTAGAGTCCTTTGTTCGCCCACTTTTCTCTTCTTCATTTAAACATAATGATTTTAATAATTAAATAATTTTAATAAATAGTTAAAATTATACTATATTAATAAATATTTATAAAATAGGAATTAATATGTTAAATTGATTAGTTTGTTTCTTTTTAATCTATATTTAAAATTTGTTAGTTCATTGTAATGGTTGTCTATTATTTTCTTGTACTTCTTTGGGAATTACAAGAAAATTTGGGATTTTGAGTTTTGTGAAACTAATGTAATGAATCAGTCGCTATAACCAATGGAGATTTTCAGATAAATTATATATTTTGATAATATTTACGGCCAAAAATTCGAACTAAGAATGACAAGGCACAGTTCATAATCAAGTAACTTACCTTATGATATATAAATTATAAATTTTGAAAATTTATATGGTCAAAAATTCAAACTTAGAATGAAAAGTCATAATGTATTATCAAGGAATTTTGAGTTCTGTTAAGCTAATGTAATGGATCAGTTGCTATAACCAATGATAATTTTCAGCAAAATTTTATATTTTGATAATGTATAAGGTCAAAAATTCAAACTAAGAATGACAAGACAGGGTTCATAGCCAAGTAACTTAACTTAAGATATATAAATTATAAATTTCGAAAATTTATATTGTCAAAAATTCAAACTAAGAATGAAAAGTCACAGTTCATTATCAAGGGATTTTGAATTTTGTTAAACTAATGTAATGGACCAGTTGCTATAACCAGTGATAATTTACAGCAAAATTTTATTCTTTGATAATGTATAAGGTCAACAATTTGAACTAAAAATTACAAGACAAGGTTTATAATTAAGTAACTTATATTAAGATATATAAATTATAAATTTCGAAAACTGAAATGGTAAAAAATTTAAGCTAAGAATGATAAGTCACAGTTCATTATCATGTAACTTACTTTACTTGATAATGAAGACTACAATTGTCCAAAATTTTATAAAATTGGATCATGCTGAAAATCACAGTACCATATATCTTATTGTTAGTTTTGTATATTATATGTCCAACCCGTCATCCTCCAGCTCTTCTCATGTTACAAGGGCAGAAATTCACAAAAAACAAAGCTAGTTACGTAATTGTAAAGGGTTCTTCAAAGAACTTTGAAGTCGTCGGGTTTACGGATGAATCCAATTAGGTCGGAAAACAATTAACCAACTGAGCGCCTAAGTTTTTGCTTTCCATTCGGAGATAGAGTCATTTGTAGGGAAGGATTAGGCTCTGACGTAAAGTGAGTCATAAAATTTGTATGCGCGATATTTATCGGAATTTCACGCCCTCTGTAATTTTGAGCGTGAATGTCAATGCTTCTCGTCAATTCTTTAGACAAACGACTTGCTGGATATTGGAAAATGGGATTATTGATCGCAATTTGTTTTATTTTACTTCAGCTTGAGAGCATACTCGTATTCTTTGCTTAGCTTGAATAATCTAATGAACGAAGTGTCATAAATGAAATAAACATTAATCTGTATAAAACATAAGGTTCTACCGCGTATCAATAATCGTAGTTATTATTATTGCATTGGTGATTCATGGGACTGATTCATAAAAACACTTTATTTAATTCTCATACATCAATACTAATTTTTAATAGTTAATTTTAATTTTGATAGAATGGGCTAATTTTTATCAAAATCTTCAAAATCGGAATAACAAACTATATTTTTCATTCTTTTTAGGTACAAAGAGAAAGGGCCGCCAATGTGGGCGCTTCGGACTGTCCGCGTGAAAAATGGGATGCCTGGGATCCGATGCTCATATCTGAAGGATTATTTTCTGCCGCTAATATTTTCAGGTGAGACAGAACAATATGTTACATGTCAAAAGAAATGTCATTTGTGTTTTGTCTATTTTTGTTATACTTCTATATCTTTATATTGAAAAGTATTTGGCGTTGTATAGTAGAATTGGCGTTGATTGGCGTTGTATAGTAGAAAAAATTCTGATTCTCAAATGTTATGTACTGTTATTAAATGGTATATATTATGAAATACGCTGAATTGCACTTAAACGTAAATTTTCTCCTAAAATAATAATCTTAACTGAATATAGATATTTGATTTGCACAAATAGTATACGTGATAACATTAGCATAATAGCGATAAAGAGTATCTATAATCCGATTTTGTTTATATTTTTACAATTCCAAATAAATTTCCAATCAACCCTGCATAAATTTGAAATCTATTCATAATAACAATAGTCATAACTATTGCAACTTTCTTTATTTATTTAACTATGCAAACAGTGTTTGTTTAACTTAAGAATATTATTACAGCATTTCTTTTATTTTGAAATATAACGCCAAGCAATTTACTTTAGCGGTAAACCAATTATAACATTTTTCTTTGAACTTGGTAGTTCAGAGCAGTGAAGTTTAAATGACGCTTTAAATATATTCAATGCAAAAACATTTCATATTACTTTAAAGCGCAGAAGTTTTGTTGAAAATAGTCACAGCAAATAGAATTATTTGCATCTAATATTAGACTAATTTTAATGTATTGTATTTATGAATAATTAGGCTTTATTTTATATAATATTATAATATCATTTATTTTATATAATATTAATAGGATGGGACAGGGCACAATGGTCCAATTTGGCTTTAAGCAATTAAATTTTAAAACAAAACTTCAAGATAAATAACAACTATCTGACTATGTTCAGTAAAACTCTTAACTGATTCATCCTTGTAGAATAGTGTTTCTTGCTGCTTTTTGAAAATGTGTCACTTTTTACTTTTTACCCCATACGCGGGGTAAAATGGTACAGTAAGAAGGCAAAGAGGTCCAATGTCTTACTTTTAAATTCAAAAGAATTTTATAAAGTCATAGCTACATTATTCAACCAATGCAAAATACAAATTTTATTGATAAAATTTTCACAGAGATAATACCGTATATAACATAAATCTGGTATGCCGTCAGAGATAATCGTCAGCAGAGTTGAAAGAACAATTTATTTAACTTATCTCTTGTAAAATTGTCTTTGTTAACTTAGGGACCGATTCTGCCGCATAACAGAGAAATATTATGACAAGGTCATGTTATGAAAAACTTTCCATTATTGACAAAAGCCATGCGGTTGGTGCGCAGTCAGGCGGATTTCTCGAGTTATCTGATAAAAAACATAACCTAAAAGCCGCAAAATGTCAAAAAAACGATGTTAGATAACATTGTGTTTCATATACAGCTTCATAACATATGTGTGATGTTGTAGTTTATGTGTAAAACGCCTGAATGATCAACAATTACAAGACATTTTGACAGTATTCACTATGATTCATTAGCATAATGTATAGAAGTCGGAGCGTAACATGGCCTTGCCGTAAGATTTTTCTCTTATGCGGCAGAATCGGACCCGTAATTTACTTTTTAATTTACTATTTTTTATTGTTTACACCTTTGGCAAGGTAAAGGTCCAGTTGGTTCTTTTTACAGTACCCACATGCATGCTTTTATAGACGTTGTATAAGAAAACTGTTAAATCTAATTTAAAAATAATAATACATCTTATAAATTTGAATAACGTAGATTTGAAAATTATATTAAGATCGCGTAAACTAAACCACAGTGCTCACAACCAAAAAAACTAGCAACGAAAAGAAATACTTCTGTTAAGGATTTTCAAACATTGCCATTTATCTCTTGATAGCAACGTCGTAAGATTCAAGGTGGTCGCTGGTTATACATCTTTTTTCTTCTACTTTAAAATATTGGTGTTAAAATGTTATTAACTTCACTTGTTTTTGTGATATTGTTGGTGGATCTTTTTACCCAAGGACCTTAAAACCCTACTCGACTCTAATCTTATATATAAAAATGAATAGCAAAATGTATTGGTATGCGCATAACTCAACAATGCCTGGACCAATTTGGACAAATATTTTTTTATAATATTCGTTGAAGTCCAAGGATGGTTCTTACAGCGAAACAAAATCGAATAATTACCGGGAAAACCCTATAAAATCACTTTTCTTTTTCACATATAAACGTTTTCTAACTAAAATCAATTTGAGCTTTATTGCTATTATATAAAGTTCATATTAAACTACAAGCACTCACTGTATACTCCTCCTAAACAATTATTCAAATTTTGTTAAATCTTTCTGAAGTTTGTTAAGGAAATTTTCTAGGATGTATGTGATTATAAAGTACTGGGATATACTCGTATGTGCAATATTGTAGAAATAAATGGAAAAAAATTGCCAAAAAACGACATGTCATTGTTTACATTGAAAACAAATGTAAACTATCATCTGCCAAAAATTTCAATTTACTTATGAACCTGGACAATATTTGAATATGTATAATGAATATGTATAATGAATAAGAAAAATGAAATGTCTACATTATTATTGCCAAAAAAAAAACCGCTGCGATGTGCCAGAAATTAAAATAATATAAGGTACAGTATATGTATGATATGTTGAATGATACACATATAAACAGGATATGACAAATTAATTCACTTAAAATATGAAATTAAGTATTAACCAGGGCTGGCCCTACCTTTAACGCGATGCCTGCGAAAAATACGAGCGCACGGCTTAGGGAGCGCCAACACAAGATTCGGATATTAAATATTCAATATAGTTTTTTTTTTCAATATATAATTTCTTTGCATCTTTTACTAATCTTTCCACAATATTTTTAAAATTCGTAAAAATTTCACTTTATAACAACAAATGGGAAAGTAAAGATGAATACATACAATTCGGACCTCACGAATTAGGAGAAATTTAAAATGTAATTTTGGATATCATAAATAATAAAAATTAAATTAATTTAATCCAACATGAAGTACCAGTGCTATGTAATGGTTATGGTTATGTTGGAATTGAGACTCATCATTTTATTTAAAGCAGTTCTACATTTAACATCGCTCATATTGTAAAATGTATATGCATTTTGGCGTGAAGAGTAATTTAAAAAAAACATTAATTATTATTTTTAGGTAAACAATAAATATTAGTATATTATATTAAAAAATTGTAGACATGGGTACATGACAATGTATGTCGGGTCATCTAGTTGTAATATAAAGCATTATAGACAGAACGAATAGTTCTGCAATCAATAATTGAATCAAAATCGTCATAAGTTATGAAGGTATCAGATGTTTCGAAAATATTATCCAACAGAAATCATCTAATTATTTATGTTCCATTATTTTCTTCCGGAAAATAAAAACTCATTTTTTACATAAACTTTCCTATCCATGTCATCCACGTCGCCGGTTCCATTGTGGCGACGGTGTAAACATCTCGCATAATTTCGCCTATTGTTATATCCTTATTGAAATTTGTTGTGCGCGCCCGGCGACCTCGGACGGCGCTCTTGACGAGCTCAGGGATAAATCACCTCAGGGATGTTTACCGGGAGGAAAAACAGCAGGCGCCTAGTTTGTTCTTCCTAATTCACTTTCCGTTGATTCATACGACTTCTCAAGCGAATCCGTTTTATATCTATTCTATACATATTCAATTTGTTCTGTAGTTAACGATGCTGAAATGTGATGCGAATCACTATATTAGAAATGTTATAATATTTTTTGGACAATTTATTTTTAAACTTCAGACTGTTTAAAATCTGGAACGCATTAATTTTAGTCAAATAATGGAACTTCTAGTACCGTATCTGAAAATCTTGGTACGGAACCCAGAAAAAAATACACAAAAGGTGTACACATTATGAAACTCTCTATAAAATATCTGATAATTTGATGTGCATAAGTCCAATATCATTTTTGACTGCCAAATGACATTTTTTTAACTTATTTTCATTGAGAGTCCATAACCGCTAAACCTTTCTTCCTGAAAATTTATCTTGTCAATACAAGTAAAATGTTTTTTGAATTATTAAACTAATCAGCACGTCTACTTATCAATACGAATCAAATGTTTTTTGAATTATTGAAATCGGTCGATCCTTGTTCCCGAAATCGTTGACGAAAATTTGTATCTGCACACACACACATACATCATTTTTTTGTAAGATATGCCAAAATGTTCAGAAACCTTTGAAACATAAAGATATAAAAAAAATTTCATTTTCGATTTTTTTTGCAATTACTATAACTTGCCCTATGGGAAGTTAATAATTAATTGAACGAAGCTGAATTTATATCTAACTATATATTTGGAACAAAGAAAGATCAAAATAGTATATCGCTTATCAAACTATGTTCTTTTGAGTTAATTTTGACCTAATTCTTAATTATAGATATTATTATTGTATTATTTTCCTAAAATTCACAATAAGTCTTGTGAAAACCTACATCAGGTATCATAAACTAAATGAAAAACCTCACAACCAAAAAAAAACTACTAACTAAAAATTACTTTTGTTATGAATATTGATATAAGGCCGTTTTTCTTCTGATATACTAGGAATGAAGGTGATGGCTGGTTGTGCATTTTTGCCTTCTACTTTAAATTAGTATTTTCGAAAAATTATATAATTTAGTTGTTTTTCAGATAAAAGTTTTTTCCCGCGGACTTTTAAGTTCAGTTCTACCCTGTATAGTGTAAAAATTAATACAATTTTGTTTTATTTTATATTCCGATCGAACTCAATATTGTAAATTAGCAATAAAATATTAATTTAAATTATCAATATATCAAAGGTTATTTTAAATAGTTTCGTGATAATTTAATTATGAATTAAAACAAGGAAGAATATTAGAAAAAGTCAAACATTTAAGCTTTTTATGTTCGAACTACAATTGTAGTCACACAAATCACATTTTTTTCTCTTTTCGCAAAACTTTTATTGCTGCAGGAATGTATAA